GGGAACCGGGCATCCGAATTCCCTACAGGTTAGTGGAATCTGACTTACAGAATTCCTTAGTCAGCTTTGAAACACAGCTGTAATGTTTAAAAATATCCAGTCCCATCTGACGTTGATACAGTGGCCTACAAGATACTATCAGTTTTGTTGACTTTTGCTCACTAACCTCTCTATAAAGTGATTGTGTAGAAAGCAGCCAAGATAAACTACTGAGACATTGCCTCTCATGCCATGAGAGCAGAATACATGAGGAATAACAACAGTAAGGAAAAGGAGCTCTCCTTAAAACAACAAAACAACAGCTTTTGTAATGACTCAAAATCTGTGCTGTGAAATGTGGCATTTTCCACACCCAGTCATACAGCCAGCCTCCTAAGAGTGAGGAAATTTGGCAGAAATCCTGATGCAAAACTGTCTTAATTCTCCTTGATGGCACATCAGCTCTCAGCTGAAGTTTGCTGAGTTTTAGTCACTGCTGGAATCAAAGGGTCTTTCACAGGCAGCTGGAAAACTAGGAGAGGGAGCTCACATTGTCATGACCAAAGGCCACGCTAGAGGATCCACACCTGCAGGGACAGGAATCAGTGACCTCTCAGTCTTTGGGCCAGATCAACGTCATGGAAATAGAAGAAGTTGAAAGCACTGGTTATCACACTTCCTATTAACCAAATTCTCTCACCACCTGAAACTTATATAAAATCCCTGCTAGGCAGGTGTCTATGTTTCAAAGACCAAATGAGAACCATGTGGAGGATCTTTGGCTTTGTAATCATGCTTATTTTTTTAGCTTCTTATAGGGAGGAGCAATGGTCCATAAATCTATAATTACTACTATATAAGCCATGGCTATATACTGTAGCTGGAGCAAGTTAGAGAGAATATGAACCTTTCATATAATACACAGCATTGGCTGTGATGCTGCTATGGTGAAAGACTGAGTCGTTAAATTTAGCCAAGAGAATTATATGATGTGGGTGCCTGCAATAGCAGGAAAACAACGGTGATGTTCTAGCTGTATGTGTCAAGTACTTATGAAAACAATTAACGTTCCAGCATTGCCATTTAGTCAGTTGTTTTCTTTCCAACACTGTAGGGCAAAATCTTTCTAATACTCTACATTTTTTTCTGTTGTCTAATATCTCCTGTGCAAAAGAATCACACAAAATGCTGTAGGTTAGATATTCAAACCTCAGCTCCATATACAGAAAGGTTCTGATGGCTTGTCTTTCAAAAAGTTCAGATTAAAGGATTTAATGGGCATTAACTTTGTTTGTCTGTGTGTGTGTTCATAAGGAACTTTCAAAGGATGCTTCACATTTAATAAATTATAGCTATTTCCAGCAGGAGGAAGAAAGCAGCATGCTTCTGTGCATTGTTTCACTACCAGTAAGGAACTTTCAAAGGATGCTTCACATTTAATAAATTATAGCTATTTCCAGCAGGAGGAAGAAAGCATGGCTCTACTCAGCATGCTTCTGTGCATTGTTTCACTGCCAGATCACTGAAGTATTTCAGCTTAAAGCACAATGACCTAAATAGTCTGAGAATGTATTTTTCTTACGAAGAATTCTATGTGGGAGCAGACTTCGCCTCTCAGTATCACTAAGGCCAAAGTCTCCTGACCTCTCTGTCAGTCAGCCCACACATAGGCTTTTCTAATTAAGTCTCCCTATTGGATTTGACTGGGCTATTTCTATCTGTGTGGTTCCCCTTGAGGAAGAGTATTAAAGTCAGGAGGGTGACCAGAACCAGATTTACAACCAAAGACTGGATCACTTGTACTGCTGCAAAAGTCACTTAAGATTTCAAAGATGTTTGAGCTTAAGGACCCAGGATGGAAGACAGGTGAAATATGGGATTAGATGAACACATAGGTTCATGAGACTGCATTTGTCTGCATCAAAATGCACCTTGGCAGAAGCGAGTTAAAAGAGGTATGAAGAATGAACAGGACTAGCATAAG